CGCGCTCCAGGCTGCCCTCCTGGCTATGCAGCAACAACCGTACACTGGCGGCGGCGATTGGATCCTCGATACGGGCGCCTCGTCGCACATGGCAGCCAATGCTGGTATGCTCTCCGCCGTCTCGGCCTCCTCATCTCCCTCTCACATCCTCGTCGGCAACGGCAACCCTCTCCCTATCACCCACACCGGCTCTCTATCCATACCCACCTCTTCCACCCCTCTGCACCTTAGCCATGTTCTCATATCTCCGCACCTCATTAAGAACTTGATCTCTGTCCGTGCGCTAACCCGTGAAAATTTTGTCTCTGTCACTTTTGACCCCTTTGGTTTCTCTGTAAAGGACCTACGCACTGGGACGGTGGTGCTCCGATGTAACAGCCCCGGCGAGTTGTATCCCCTGCACTCCGGCGATGTCTCTCCACCCGCTGCGTTCGTCACCATCACCGCTGACCTTTGGCACCAGCGGCTCGGCCACCCCGGGCGTGCAACTCTTTCTCGCATTTTAGACACCTTTGATTTTCATTGTAATAAAACCACATCGCATACTTGTCATGCGTGTCAGCTTGCCAAACATGTACGACTCCCGTTCAGTGAATCAAACACTATTGCTCCATTTGCATTTCATACCATACACTGTGACATTTGGACATCGCCGGTGCTCAGTAACTCTGGGTTTCAGTACTTCCTCGTCCTACTCGATGACCACACTCACTTTGCATGGACGTTCCCTATGCGCCGCAAGTCTGACGTGTTTGAGCTCCTGATCACCTTCCATGCCTATGTTGACACCCAATTTCAGCGCCCCATTGTCACGTTCCACACTGATAACGGCCGTGAATTTGACAATGCCGCCTTCCGCTCGTTCCTCTCCACGCACGGCATCGCCTTCCACCTCACGTGCCCCTACACGTCTCAACAGAACGGCCGCGCCGAGCGCATCATCCGCACCCTCGCCGAGGGGCTCCGTAGTCTTCTCTTTCACTCCTTCATGCCCACCTCGTTCTGGCCCGACGCTCTCGCCACCGCCACCCACCTCCTTAACCTACGCCCTTGCCGTCCCCGCCAGTGCGTCACTCCCTTTGAGTTGCTCTACGGCTAACGCCCGACGTACACACACCTATGCGTTTTTGGGTGTCTATGCTACCCTAACACAACAGCCACCGCTCCCAACAAACTCTCTCCACGCTCCACGCTCCCGTGCCTGCGTATTCCTCGGATATCCTCCTGATCACAAGGGTTACAAGTGTTTCGACTGCGCCGCTGGCCGCATCATTCTCTCCCGCCACGTCTTCTTCGACGAACAGACTTTCCCTTTTGCGCAGGACCAGGTCGTCCCGCCACCCGTGGTTGCCGACGGTGCCCGCCTCCTTGAGGACACCCCGCCGCCCCTGCTCGTCGATGGTCCCCGAGCGCACCACCAACCACGCGCAACTCAACCAGCCACGCACTCTACTGCAGCATCTTCCCAGTCCGCTACCATGGTAGCAACCTCTGGTGCATCAGCCGCTCCTTCTGCTGCCACGGCAGCCACTCCGTCTCGCAGGAACTCTGCCACGGCCGCACACTCAGGCGCCTCGGCGGCCCATTCAGGCGTCTTCGCCACTTCTTCACCGGCCACGTCCGCCTCGCCTGCACCTTCTGCGCGCTCGCCACCAGCTCCAGCGACCTCCACCTCATCGGTTTGCGATCACGCTGGTGGCTCTCCTCCGCCTGCCTGTGTCCACCCCATGGTAACGCGGGCCCGTGCGGGTGTTCGGTGCCGCAACAGGCAGTATGATGCGGACTACGTCCTCGCGGCCACGACGACCACGCCGTCGCCCGTCCCCTCATCTGTGTGTGCTGCTCTCAACGATGAGCACTGGCGTCGCGCCATGCAAGAGGAAATCGCCGCGCTCCGCGCTAACTCCACCTGGACCTTGGTCCCTCGGCCGGCCGGAGCTCATGTCATCTCCGGCAAGTGGATCTTCCGCCACAAGCTCAACCCCGACGGCACCCTGAACCGCTACAAGGCGCGGTGGGTTGTCCGCGGGTTCACGCAACGCCACGGTGTGGATTACCACGACACCTTCTCACCCATCGTCAAGCCGGCGTCCATCCGCATCGTCTTGCAGCTCGCCGCCGCCCGCAACTGGCCCGTGCACCAACTTGACGTAAAAAATGCCTTCCTCCATGGTGAGCTCGCCGAGCACGTCTACTGTCAACAACTTGCAGGTTTCGTTGATGCCCGCCGCCCACACGACGTCTGTCTCCTGTCCAAGTCCCTCTACGGACTAAAACAGGACCCGCGCGCGTGGTTCACCAAGATCACAACATGTCTCCGTGGGATTGGTTTCACGGCCACGAAGTCTGATGCTTCTTTGTTCGTCTATCGACATGGACATGAGATGGCATACCTGCTCCTGTATGTTGACGACATCGTCCTCGCTGCGTCGTCCACAATGCTTCTACATCGCGTCATCACGCAGCTCACCCACGCTGTCGCGCTCAAGGATCTGGGGGCGTTGCACTTTTTCCTCGGCATCCAAGTGCGACGCACACCCGCCGGATTCTTCCTCCACCAGCATCAGTATGCGGAAGACCTCCTCCATCGCGCTGGCATGACCAACTGTCGGCCCGCCTCCACGCCGGTCGACACGAAGCCCAAACTCTCCGCCGCTGAGGGTGAGCTTGCCGATGACGCCACCGAGTACAGGAGCATCACTGGCGCCCTTCAGTACCTCACACTGACGGGTCCAGATCTTCAGTATGCCGTGCAACAGGTATGCTTGCATATGCACGCGCCGCGGCAGCCGCACTGGGCCATGGTGAAGCGCATCCTGCGCTATGTTCGGGGGAGCGTCGGACACGGCATCACCATCTCCGCCTCGGCACCGACCGAGCTCATCGCATACAGTGACGCTGACTGGGCAGGCTGCCCCGAACGCGGCGTTCGACATCCGGCTACTGTCTCTTCCTCGGCGGCTCGCTCATCTCGTGGTCGTCGAAACGACAGCCCACTGTGTCTCGCTCGAGCGCCGAGGCCGAGTACCGTGCCGTGGCCAACGCAGTTGCTGAGTGCTGTTGGACGCGCCAACTTCTTCATGAACTTCACTCCGGTATCGACAGGGCCAG